TATATATATGCGTGTATGTCTAAGGCTGATGCAAGGTATACTGTGCACAGTTTCGGTTTCGACGTGGAAGCTGGGTGGACCAAACTGTCTATGGAGGTGTATTCCCAAGTATAAGCAGCGGATGAATCCGTATGGATGAATCCGTATTTGGAATAACACTACACAGTGATCTATCGTACACTCGTTTATCCTGTCATGCTGTATACCACACACCTGCAAATACACACACACAGGCTTGCTGATCGATTCAATGAAACCACAGATGTCTCTGGCGTGGGGACTGTGCTGTTGTACACGTGGGCGTTCCTGTCCACGTGGTTCTCCTTCAACCATTACTTCGCATCGTTCACATCCGACGGGATGGTACACATGTACAAGATCTTTATGGTGATGGCTGGGGCCGTGGTCATGGTCATCTATGTCCAGGAAGGTATCAGGAAGAGTTTGCATGTGGTGTTTCCGGGTGTGTGCACGATAAATTCATGGTATATCTGCAAACGTTCTTATTATGAATAGCTAGCTCGTGGCCGCAAGAATGCTTATTGTGTAGAGATGTACACATGTATACATGAGAATCTGGAGACGTAAAAACATCATCACGTCTTTCCGTCCAAACGCAGGTCCTGGAAATATGCATATGAAAACATGTGTAAAAAAGTGTGTTCAAACGAACTGTTATTGTGAATTTGAATATATGTGGGAACTTGTATTTGTATGCTCATATGCATGCGTATGTGTACGTGCATGTTTACGTATATATATGTGTATATGTATGTACATGTGCAAATGTATGTGATTTCGCTCTACATGAGTATGTATATTTGTATGTATATGAATATGTATAAGTGTACGCGTGTGTGTATCTACATTTGCATGTGCGTACGTGTATATGTCTAATTGTATATACGTCTCCCATTCTTCATTTACTTAGCAGATAAAACATCAAAGCAAGGCTCGCCAGAACAAATATCACCTCGTCGCTTTCCTTCTGATTATACTTAACCAATTGTGAAGTTATTTGTATATACATACACACATACATACATTATACTATACATACACACACACACACACA